CTGGACACATTATACACCAAGAGATGAGGAGCCATCCTTTCCTTGCAAAAAGGAGAGAGACCTCTCACTTTTTCCTACAGCATAGCTATGCTCTCACTTTTCCATCTTAAGTTGCTTCCCCAAGGGAAGGATGATCCATTAAATATTGTACAACTTTTTTTACACTTGATCTTAGCCAAAAGGCCGAGAAGCAATCAACTTTTTCTTTATCTGAAAAAATTAGTGCTTAACTTGCTCTTTCAAAATGCTTCTATTTTAGGGACCAAAAATATATTAGCTTCCCATGTTGAAATCTGGGTGCCTTCTATGTGGTGGGCACTGTTACAGAGCAGGAAATGAAGGCATGAACAGAGACAAAATATGTCCATTGATATTCTGGTAAATGTTTTGCAATGGCTACGGGGGCGAGGGAGCCCTGATTTGTAGAGCTGTTATCTGTGAATGCTGCCACGACATGACCAACTGCCTCTAGCATACTACAGAATGTTTCATGCTGACAAATATCATGTAGGAAAAGCCAGCCAGAGGCACAAAGAAAGTGAGAAGCAGATGAATATTATTAAAGAGTCAGAGAAGGTGTCATTAAAAAAAATATTTAAAACAACAATGAGATATCATCTCACCCCAGTAAGAATAGCAAAATTTAACAGAAGAGCAAGCAACAAATACTGGCGAGGTTGTGGAGAAACTGGAACCCTTATTCACTGTTGGTGGGAGTGTAAGATGGTGCAACCACTATGGAAGGCAGTATGGCCCTTTCTCAAAAAGTTGGAAATAGAAATACCATTTGACCCAGCAATTCCACTACTGGGAATAATATCCTGAAGAGACCATAGCTGACATCCAAGCAGATATATGCACTCCCATGTTTATTGCAGCTTTGTTCACAATAGCAAGGAGTTGGAAACAACCTAAGTGCCCATCAACAAACGAATGGCTAGAGAAGCTGTGGTATATTCGCACAATGGAATACTATGCTGCATTAAAAAACAAGGAACTCATGCAATATTATTCAAAATGGTTGACTCTGGAGAACATTATGCTGAGTGAAATATCCCAGTCACAAAGGGACAAATATTACATGATGCCACTGTTGTAGAATGGGACTAACCTCAGGGTTGGGGAGAGATTGAATAAGATGTGTTCAATAATGTATACTGCACTGAAACAGAGGAGGGAGAAAACTATGTAAAAGAGATATGTGACTAGGTATTTCTGTCATCACAGGAGTCTAGAGCAAGGGCTACACGGTGGAGGGGACCTGGGTGAGGGTTTGTAAAACAATGAAAGAATCTTTTCCTTTACTTTTCCATAATTTTTGACTCATGTACTTATAACTTGTTAGTTAAATTTGTGTCTTCTAGGTTGCAAACCCCCCCCCCCCATGATACATCTTCAGGGATATGAACATGTATGGCTAAGCACAATTAATAACAGTGCATCTAAATTCCAAAATCAATCTCCATAATAGTCTATGTGTTTCCTACTGCCAAAGGGGCCCTTTAGAGTAGTGAGAGAAGATCTTCACCCTGAAACCCACAGCGTCCCTTTTCAGCAGGAAGTAGCTAAGAGAATACGCCATCCCCTTTTCCTTATGAATCAGGGTGAAGTCTCTCTCAGGGAGGAGTGATAGGGAATGGCAAAGGACACACCGACAAAGGAGATTAATCAGAACTGACTTTGACAAGCACTGTGGCAATTGGACAATTAAAACAGACATTTGGATGGCGGGGAAGAAGAACAAACTGGGGAGGAGGGTAGAGAGAATGGTGCAGCAATGAAGGAATGAAAACCCAAAATCCCTGTAAATGTTCATTAAAAATAATAAAATTTAATAAAATTTAAAAAAAAATAAAACTAAAACAAACAAACAAACAAACAAAAGAAATACCATTTGACCCAGCAACCCTACTACTGAGAATAGACCCTAAAACACCCGTAACTGCCAGCAAGCAGATATATGCAGACCCATATTTACTGCTGCTTTGTTCACAATAGCAAAGACTTGGAAACAACCTAAGTGTCCATCAACAAATGAACAGATAGAGAAGCTATGGTATATTCACACAATGGAATACTATGCTGCATTGAAAAACAAAGAACTCCTGAAATATTATGCAAAATGGGTGACCCTGAAGGACATTATGCTGAGTGAAATATCTAGGTCACAAAAGGACACATACTAGGGGAGCTCTGGTGGCCTAGTGGCAAGAAGCTGCAACTACAATCCCAGAGGTTCACGGTTCGAATCCACCAGATGCTCTGCCGGGGAAGGAGGGGCAATCTCCTCCTGTACCAGTCAGATCTGATTTGACGGTACACGCACACAAAAATAATAAAACAAAAAAAAAACAAACAAAAGGACATATACTGCATAGTGCCATTGTTGTAAAGTGGGTCTGACATTGGAGTTGGGGGGGAAACTAAGAGGGGATAAATAATGAATACTATATTGAAACAGATGAGAGAACTGTTTAGGAGAAATATATGATCAGGTATTATTGTCATGACAAGAGGCCAGAATGAAAGTTGCACAGTACAGTGGACTGGGTGGGGTGGGGGAGATTGTATAACAATGAAAGAGTTTGTTTTTTTTTTTCTCTTTTCAAAGAGAAAAGTGAACTGGGCGGAGGGGTGGGCGGGAAAGATAGTGTGCGAGAATGAATGAATGAATGGAAGTCCAAAGTCTCTGTAAACTTTCATTAAAATAAAAAATAGGGGAAAAAAAGCACCCCAAAACATCAAAGTGATGATGGGGGCTTTGGTGGCCCAGTCTGTACGGAATTGCTCTGCTAACCCGAAGGTGGCACTTCTCTGGTGGTTTAAATCTACCAGTAGCTCCAGAGGAAAAAGATGACAAATCTTCTCCCATGTGATTTACAGCCTCTTGAAAAATTGCTGGAGGGTCTGAGGTCTGTTCCAACTTGATGGAAATGAGAGATAAGACTGATCAAGGTGATGAGGGAGCCTTAGTGAGGGAGTGGGAAAAGTGTTCTGTTGCTAAGCAAAAAATGTGACAGTCTAAATCTACCATCACTGCAGGAGAAAGACATAGCTTTCTTCTTCCATAAACATTTATTTCCTTTGAAGCCTTATGATGAAGTTCTACACTGTCTCAGGCTGGGCTCTTGAGAGAAACAAAATGAGTGAAGCTAATGTTTTATCTCACAGAAATGATTCATTCACTTGCAGGAGCTGAAAAGTCCAAGGCCTGTGGGTCAAACCTCAGAAAAAAGACTTCATCTAACTTGGATCTGTCAGCACAGGCTGACCAATCCAAGGCTGACAGCTAAGGCAGGCCTCTGACTGAAGTACAAAGAACCAGAAGTGAGGATCCACATGCAGAATCCAGTGCAAGCAAAAGCAAGCAAACTCCAACAGACATCCATATACGTTCCATGCAAGTGACATTCCCAAGGAAACTCCCTTTTCAAATGACTGGCTGCTCATAGCAGACCTCACCATGAGGGATTACACATTATATAAGGCCTCATCAAGGATTCAGGCCATAGTCTTTTGCATTTGCTATGCATCTGAAAGCTGGACAATGAGCATAGATGACAAAAGAAGAACTGATACCTTTGAGCTGTGGTATTGGAGAAGAGCACTGAACATTCATCCCATGATGGCCAAAAGAACAGATATGTTTGGAGACGGTGCAGCTGTAGTGATCTTTGGAGGCAAGAATGATGAGGCTTTGCCTCATGTACCTTGGGCATGTTGCTGGGAGGGACATGATGCTTTTTCCTTGGAGAGGGACATGATGCTTGGAAGCGTGGAGGGTTGGCAAAGGAGAGGAAGACTCTCAATCAGATGGACTGACATGGTGACTGCCGCAATGGGCTCTTGTGTGTCAGAAACTGTGAGGATGGCACAGGATAGATAGAATAGGGTTCAGATCTTTTGTTCATAGGGTCACTATGAATCATACTGGACTTGATGGCACCTAACGACAACAATATCATCAAGGAAATAATTCATTCTATAAAACTCATCAAGAGAACAGCTACATCATAACTGGTAATTCGAAGTCACCAAATTGACAACCTTAACCACCAGTGTCTGAGCTGCAACTGACTCAAAGGCAGTAGATTAGGTTTTGGTTTCGTCAATGTAACTAGACTGACAGTTTCAAGGGCATTAATTTTTTAATAATGATAATAATTAGTAACTCAACAATTTACACATTTTTGTGCTGTTTTCTCTATGATTTTATTTTCCAATAAATAGTTTTAAAAATAAATGATAAACTTTTTTTTTTTTTACTTACAGAGTGTGTATAACAAAAACATCCAAAGAAAGCTGTAGGAGATTGTAATATTATGGTCTTTAAAAATTTTTATGAGCGCTTCAAATGCTTTGCATAGCAACCAAATCTCTTGACCGCACTAAGAAACAGGCAACAGCACCCTGCTCAAAGACAGCAACCAACATTCAAAGTAGTGCATTTGTCTGCCATCTTTGAGCTGAATAGCACTGCCTGCATCCTTCTTGGGCCAAAACACCACATGTAAGATTTGGTTGTTATGCAACACTGAATCAGGGTCCAAAGACAGGTTGTGTAACATTTCTTTATAATGGTCTGATAGCCAGGTCTACTTACATGCAAGGTACGCTCTTACTACCAAAGTGTCAGCCAATAGTGTCAAAGAGACTGAGACGCAGATCATCACATTCTGCCTGTTAAGCTTTGTGTCCCAGTATGGGCCTGTATTTGCCCCAAGGAAAGAGTATCTTTACCTAATCTGCACAAAGGCATAAATCAATCTTAAAACCATAGGACTCAATATCTCTACTTCTTTTATTTTTGCATTTTTAAAGCAAGCTTTATTTGCTCTTGAATACAAATGAGAGCAGTTATCAACCTAATAAGCAAAATTCTGAAATTTTAAAGGACAACCAATATATTACACACTTGAAGTAGTTAAAAAATTTTACCTGTCTCATATATTTCAACAGTCCCTTCTATAGGATTTTATTTTCCATACGAAAAAGGAAATGTAACAAATCAGCCACTGATTCATGTTTCCAAATTAAAAAATAACTTCCCTCAGTCTGCAGATTGTTTAGCTCCTTCTCTTGCTAATCTATCAGCTTCTTCATTGCCTCTAAATCCCGAATGACCAGGAATGTGCATCTGTTAAAATAAAAATTTTCCTACTATTAATTTTTATACAAGTAGCATTTTTTGTTGTAAAATTTTCAATTCTACAGAGTATGCCAAGTTAAAGAAAGCTCACCCTCATAGCCTTTCTTTAACATAATTCTAAACAGCCCAAGGATTCTTACAGACCTTTTAAAATGCACTCAGGCAATGTAACCATTTATAAAAACTTAAGTTTTTTACAAAATTCACAAATTGGATCTTACTAATATTGTTTTTAAAAATTCTTTTTCAAATTTTTAACTCATTTAAAATGAGAACTTTCAAGCTTGTCATGGAAAATGCATATATGACAGTATATAATTCGCACTATTCTTTTTAGCAATTAAGAAAATGTAGGTGTATTTATTTGATTTAATCACTGTTTACATTTAGGCTGCTAAAAGACATATTTAAATGTCAGGTCACCAAACTATTATAAGTGGTTCTGAAGAAGTGGAGGAAGGTAGGGTAAAGACAATGTTTGCCATTTAACTTGCTTTGTACTGCCTGGAGAACAAAATTGAACATCCCCTAGTTTTAACAAAAACTACCTCCAAACTCCAAACTTCCTCTCCTGGTCTCCAGTTTGGAGCAGCTGGAGTGCTCTTTGGAGGTAAGAATGATGAGAGTATGCCTCACATCCTTTGCGCATGTTACTAGGAGGGGCTATTCCTTGGAGAGGGACATGATGCTAGAAAGGGTGGAGGGTCAGTGGAGGAGAGGAAGATCCATAACCTTGACCAGGTGGACTGCCACAATGACTGCCACAAATGGGCTCTTGTGTGTAAGTGGGAAGATGGTATAGGACAGATTAGGGTTCAGATCTTTTGTTCACAGTGTTGCTATGATTTGTTCTCCACTTGATGGCATCTAACAACAAAGAGAATGATGGCAGCATCCTCTCCTGTGCTGTCCCTCTACCCTTCCTAATTATATACTTTCTATAAACCTTTCTAAATTACTATAGTAAATGTATTATATATATAAAAATACTTACCCATCGAATATCCATGCCCTGGGTAAGTCTATCAAGCTCAACAAAGTCCTCCTTGTTGATTACCTCTTTCCCTGTGCTTGTTTTCCATCCATTTTTCTTCCAACCTTTAACCCAATTAGTTATACCTAAAAGCAAAGCATATTTGAAAATGTCATCATTCCTTAGTTTTACAAAAATGCCTCCACTCTAATTTTCATTAACTAGTCATAAATTCTTCCTCCAAATATATTTTCTAAAAGTTATGCTGTTATTCCAAAGAGGCATTGGTACTTTGGTGGCAGAATTCTCCCCTCTTAGAGGTTGATCCATGGTCAATTTCCCTCGAATAATTTCATTTGCAGTCAACACATGACTCACCTTCCAGCAGGTTTTCAGAGGCAGTAAATCAAACAGGAAGAGACTGCCTATGTTTCTCACACAGAGCAACTGGTGGATTTGAACTGCAAGCCTTTGGCATTACATCACAGATTCTTACCACCAAGCCATTAGAGTGTGCTAGTGCTGGGTAGGTCTAATTCTCCTGTTGCTGGATTGCTCAATTTATTATTGAACCTAGCTAATTCCTTTGTGGTTTGGTAGGTAGCCAATCCCCCTGTGGATGGTGGTTTGGGGATCAGGAAGTTGGAGCCTGGCCAACTCTGCTCAGAGTGCCTACTAGCCCTGTACCTTGACTGAGCAGAGACGGGCAGCCAGGTGCCAACCTTGCTTCCTTGACTGATGGCCCAGAAGTGACCAAACATAAACGTAAGGGACCCAGGGTTCTTTATGTACCCCAGAAGCTTTGCACAGGAAAATGATAAACTATCAAAGGGCACTGCTAGTGCAGCTACTATGAATCTGCTAAACTGTGAAAATAGCTGTGGCTCCAGCCAGCCTGACACTGACTGCCATATATATAGCCATCGCCAGCTACTATAGCACTGCAGTCAAAGATGACAGTGTGAGAACCGTCAGCACAGGGAACCTGTCCAGTTTGGCCCAGCCCTGGAAAGCAAAGTAAGTACGAATGCCCCATATACTTGATGGCATTGTGGGAAGCAGTGCAAACACCATGTGGCCATAGGCTCTGCAAAGCCTGTATCATCAAATCGATGAGGTACATGAGCCTGAGGGGAAAAAAAAATAGCACTTTCTATCTAAAATTAATACAGAGAACACTGATCAGAAAAGAAATGTTCTACTTAAAGAGTTGTTTGGTTTTTTTTCTTTTTTTTTTTTTTTTAATTATTTATGTGTACCATCAAATCAGATCTGACTGGTACAGGAGGGGATTGTCCCTCCTTTCCTGGCAAAGCATCTGGTGGATTTGAACCGTGCGCCTCTGGGATTGCAGTGCAGCTTCTTGCCACTAGGCCACCAGAGCTCCCCTTAAAGAGTTTTTTTAAAAAAGGAAAGCTGATGAGTGGCTATTTAAGGTAAAACTATTGGTCTCTTCCTGTTAGAAGCAAAGAGTGAATAAAATGAAAGACTCAAGGAAATAATCTAATGGATCACAAGAGCCATCCATACTAGCCCAAGACAAGAACTAAATGGTACCTGGCTATCACTACTGGCCACTTGGATTAGAATCACAACAGAGTGGGCAGGAAATGTAGCACTGTATAAAGATTAAGAGCCATGTGGGGATGGCCATGTTCGACCTTTATCAACTTCACAAGGCAGAACTGGCCCAGGCAATAGCATCAATAACACAAAACCAATTCCCATGAGGTCACGTCTCCTATGCTCCCATACCTCTTTCTACGCAACTCAACACCAATTGTACTAATCTGTTCAGCCCAAAATCCAATGTGATAGCTCACGGACCAACAAGGAACCATATTGAGGAAGTCAAAAGGTTATAATCCAGATTAATAACAGAATACAAGCAAAATAACTCCCTAAATCTGCACACAGAAACCTCAGCCTCAAGCCTCATGGCTTCAGGCCAGTGTTACTGTCAAGTTCTTAGTCCTGCCAATATTGGCTTCCCACACTCCAGGTGTCCAACAAAGTTCTTAGTCCTGGAAGTCCTGGATGTCCCCACATCAAGGTCTCACATAAGGTCTTCAGTTCAGCCATAAGTGCTGCTGACGTACGTGTGCTGCCTTAGGTGTAACTAGAACAAAGAGTGTCTTATATTTTCTTTTTTTTTCAACAACGCCAGAAGGTCTGTCTGCCTCTCACTGTTGACTTGTTCAATTCAAAGGCAAGGCTAGCCAATCCCCTTGCATATCGTTGAAACTGGCCAATTCCTTTGTGGAATGGTAGATAGCGAATTCCATGTGGATAGGCTAATGTGCTCATCCACATATTTCCACTCTCTACATAGCACAGTCAAATTATGGCTAGGAAAAGTCATATTGAAAGATAAACTCCACAACACAAAATCCAAAATCATAAAAACATTCAGGCTTAACAGGTTTTATAAAGACTGGTGGAACCCTGGAGAGTATGGTCTGTAGACTCCTTCAAATTGGAACTGAACCCTTTTCCAGAGATCCATTAGCCAAACCAGACAGGGCTATAATGGGAACAGTAACACCCTTTAGCAACATGTTCCTCAGAGTAGCATTTACTCAAAGACAAAGTTCAGAAGTAAGTAAAGGGTAGGAAGGATGTGCAAATGGAAAGGGGGAACCTAGGGAGGAAGTGAGAAGGCTATTACAATGTTGTTGTTATGTGTCATGGAGTCACCAGCAACTCATAGCGACCTTATTTACAACAGCTCTAAACCCTGCTCTACAATGTGCCAATCTCACTGTCCCTGACACACCAACCACAATTACTTCAGTCACTGAATCAATCCACCTCATAGAGGGTCTTCTTCTCCCGCACTGTCGCTCCACCCTCAAGCATGATGCCCTTCTCCAAGGTCCCTCCATGCAACATGTACAAAGTATGTCAGATGAAGCTTCAGAATCCTTGCTTCCAAGGAGCAGCCTGGTTTAACCCTCTCCAAGAAGAATCTGTTTGTGTTCTTAGTAGTCCATGGTATATTCAATACTCTTCTCCAACACCACAACTCAACAAGGCATTAATTCTTCTATCCTCCCTAGTCACTGTCCAGCTCTCTGACGCATTGCAAGTGATTGCAAAGACCATGGCCTGTCTCAGGTGCACCTTAGTTTCCAGAGTGACACCACTGTTCCTCAGGACTTTGGAGAGGTCCCTAACAGCAGACTTTCCCATCACAGTATGTCTTTTAAATTCCTGGCTGTTGGTGTAAAGAGTGTTGACTGTGGAGCCAAGTAAACTAAAGCTTTTAACAATCTCAATCTCTTCACCATCCATCTTGATGCTGCCAATTGGCCCAGTTGTGAGAATTTTTATTTTCTTGATACTGAGCCTCAATCCATTTTGAAAGCTGCAGCAAGCACTTCAGGTCCTCCTCAGTTTCAGCAAGAAGAGTTGTGTCATCTGCATAACACAGATTGTTGATGAATCTTCCTCCAATCCTTATGCCACACTTCTCCTCATACAGTCCAGCCTCCCAGATAATCTATTCTGCATAAAGACTGAAAAGGTATGGAGATAGGATACATCCCTGGCATACATCCTTCCCAATTCTGAACCAAGCAGTGTTTCCTTGCTCTGTTGAGAGGATTATATCTAATGTGGATAAATTGTTGAATGGAAAATTAATTTGATCTGCAAACTTACACTCAAGTCACAATAAAATATTCAAAATAGAAACCAATACTTTATATAAAGTTATCAGAACTCCTTGAAAAAGCCAATCTATTCATAGTAATCCTCCCCTCAATATCCTGGAGTGGGAACCAACTCACAGCTGACCCTCCAGGAGGTTTCTAAAATGAAAATCACAGGAGATGAGATTCCCTGCCCACCCTTCACCTGATGAAGCAAACTAGTTGATCTGAAATGCCAGAGGGTCACAGTCTTTGAGTAAATAGTGAAACTTCCTATGGATTCCAGCACCAGAGCTCCCCTAGTTGAAGGCAGTGTTGCTTTTGTTGCTGTTAAGTGCTACTGAGGTGAAACCAACTGACAGCTCACCCTAAAGTGGGTTTTTGGAGGCTGCAAGTCATAAGGGAGGAGTTTGCCCATCATTCTCCCAAGGAGCAGCTAGTGGATTCCAACTGCATGCCTCTTGGTTGGCAGTGAAAATTATTACCCCTAATCACGAGAGTTCCCTATTTCAAGTTATGTTAAATTTTCTTACCTATTACATAATCCTACAAAGATATATTTTACTTCTCCCAATCTAGAGATAACAAAAATGAGGGTACAGGAAATGAAATCATTTTCTTATGATCATAAAAGTGAAGTGATCTGGCTTAAATATTTTCATTCTTTTTTTAACTTCTCTAAGATTATCTCTCCTAATTGTCCCATATGTATCCTATATAGTCATTCTAAATTCTTCACTTCCTTAATTATGCCATGCTTTATTATTTGATTTTTGGTTTGTTTGTTTACAGATGTACAAATAGTCTTCCTCCAATTTGCATTCAATCTTTATTTGTCATCTTAAGCTGTCACTTCATCCAAAAAGCCTTCCCAGATGTCTTCAGCATCCCTTTCTTTGGTTCTATTTGCTGTAGGAATATTCAGAATCCTATCTTAAGTAACTTATTCACATTTAAATTCCAAGTGTCAGAAGAGTAGAAACATATCTGATATCATAGCCTGGCAAAGAATTGTATGAAATAAATACATGGTAAATACTAAAGCAGAATTAAGATTCCAAACTCCTCTTTCTTCCCTGGGTACTTTACCAACCAAATGTTATATCCATTTTAACATTTTATTTTTGCCATGCTGTAATAATACCTCCTAGTAAAAAAAAAAAAAAAACCCCCCCCCCAAAAAAAAA